AGTTGTCATTCAAAAGCAATCCAAAGCAAATTAATACAGACATCCTGTTTCACAGCAAAGACCCCTACATCACCACACCAGCTACTCACCTCAGGTTTACAGTCATCAGCCCATAAAGGGTTCTGGCGCTGTAACACCCAGCTTGATCGGGATCATCACCTGTGAACAGCAAGGCTGAAGGATGCTGTTCCAGCATGATTTTCAGAAGGCTCATGTCAAGCTGTTCTCACCTCACTACAATGGCATGGGTCTAGAAGGCTGAGAGGTCCAGAATGAGCTCAACTGCGTCAAAAAGAGAGGAGGGTTTTTAGTTATTAGTCCTGGTTTGTAATAACTAGCCTCTGATTCACATCCAACAGCCCCTGATGAATGCAAACAGAGACACCAAACTGTAGTAGTCTCAACTGCAACACAAATTATTCACATTTCTCTTGCCTCACTTTCAGATATCAGAGTGATTGATTAACATCCTCAGTTACTACTACATTCACTGATTACAAAATCTATTCAGAATACCAGAGAGCAATGGCAAACTCAGAAATCAGGGAGTTTTACAACTGAAACAATCCTGTTCTGAGAAATTCTGAGAACACCAAATCTGAATTATGCAAACTAGGTTTTTAACTTCTTCTCTTTCAGATGAAAATTGTTGAAAAGCAGCATTTCTAGGAAGTGTTTTTGTGCACCATGCCAAGCATAAAAACCTTGCTGAAGAGAACAGAATAATGTCCTACAAAAAATTTCCAAGCAGAGCTAGGGAACAGGGGAGGGGCTGTCACGAATTTGTTATGTTGGTGCCTTCCAGAAATTAAAAAGCAATATGCAGTCTGTTCCCATGCCAGCTGTGTTTCTAGAGACTGCTTTCTGTCTACCACAACCACATTATTGCCATTTTAAGCTAAGATTTCACTTAATTTACATAGGCTGGGACAGACTGCAGCTGCCTGCTCTTACCGCAGACGCGGTGCCTGGGACTGCAGGTTGCAGCCTGTGAGGCTCTGCTGCTATCGACTTGCAAGCTCCTTTGTTTAAAATGGAAGATTGTGGGACCTACAGTTTTCCAGACCTTTCCACCTTTAGGGAAAGCAGTGGTCAAGGCTGGTTTGGACATGACTGATCACGTAGGAGTTGTTCTACACTGAATCCTCAAGGTAGAACTCACGCTTGGTTTGGCAGATGGATGCGAGCCCTGGTACCCTCTTTTTGTTGGGCTGTGCAAATGAAGACTGGACACTTCCTTTGCTTGATACTTACAGTGATACTATAATAATTTTCAGGTTCTTGGGAGGAGGTGAGATGAGTAACTTTTGCAGTCAAAATAAAATAAAAATCCTGAGATAAATAATACAATAATAAACTCATGATCAGTTGCACATCCAACACACTCCAGTCAAAATAAAATAAAAATCCTGAGATAAATAATACAATAAACTCATGATCAGTTGTACATCCAACACACTGGCTAGAAGACATAAGATCACAGATTTGTTTCTGCTATGTCAACCTGCACAAAACTGGTTTCTGATTTATCAATGCTTCATGTGCAAACCTAAAAAGAATTTTAATTTGCCTGTGCCTCAGTTTCACATATGCCAAACTGCTTTCTGTCAGGAAAGCTAAGTTTTCAGAAGGTACTCAGGCCTTGTGGGAGATACTCATGTGTCTACAGCTACACCAAACTAAACAGCGCAGTCCTTAAATGAAAAGCTTATGATTGTAGATGCAAAGGTCTTAGGCAAGGCAACATTTAGGTGGCTTGCACTTCACTTTTATGTTCTTGATGTCCTGAGTAGAGCTGCAGTTTTAAATGAGTCATTGTACACCCCCAACCATACTGTTTGTCAAAGGTCCAACTCAGGCCAAGTTTGGAAGAAATAAATTCTGTAGCTGGTATGCAAATATGACTAGAAATCAATTATCTTACTTCATAAATAGTGAACAGCCAGAGCTCATTGATCTCTCCTGCAGAGCAGTGGACTGTTTTCCAGGGTCTTTGCTTTGAGTAGTAGCTCTCAATGTCACCTCTCAGAGTTGAGAGATCCCTTGACTCAAGAGATTCCCAGTAAATGAATAATAGAATGCTAAACTCTGAAATCTTAGCTAAGTGACACAAAAGATTTATTATGCACATATAATCCTTGAGACATAAACTGTTGACTAAGTCTAAGTTTGGAATTAGGCATACATAAACTCCCTTCTAAGAAGGAGCTTAGAACACAAGGAGGTCTTTTCTGAACCTCATGATTCAGCAGGAGTGTCTCTCTCCCCACGTTTTTTGTCTGCCCTTTATGCCATAAATAATCAAGTGCACCTTGTCATCAGATCTTATTAAACCCTTCTCACATTTACCATGAAGTTTGGCAAAACCACTGAGTTATATCAATAAACATATTGCTACTTCTTTCTTAGGAGTGACATCCATGACACACCCATGACTGCTGCGCTATAGCTGTCAGAGCCCAAAGCCAGCCTTCTAAGAAAACAGCAGGACACCTGGGCTCCTCACAAAGGTTGTTTGTAGCCCTAGCCAAGGGTCCTGTGCCCTGTGCTGCACAGTGGCTGCATTCAGCAGAAGTGGAGCCTACCCTCTGTATCAGATATGCACTCTCATGTTCATGGGGATGGCCACCAAACCCTCTGGAGCATGGATATCAAATTCACTCGGTGAACACAGTAACCTATTTGGTTATTGTATGAAAGGAGAGAGGAAAATTCCTCTCCTGGCTTCTGGGTGAGACTGCCAGGGCTAAAACATTTCTTGCTAACCTCAGCATTACCACCTTTTGTTACCAGTTTGTGTTATCTGATAGTCTTCTGGCCTCACCTATGGGAAACTTTAGTACTGCCATGACACATTTCCAAGTCTCACGTGGGCATTAGTGGGAGCTGCTGCCTCATCTGCCCCATCTTGCTGGGTTCACCTGTGAGTAAAATGGGCTTGACAAAACTTTACCATGAAAGGCTTTCTGTAACTGTGCCCCACGGATCTGAATGGCCTCTGTGTGTGCTCTGAGACTCACTTTGGTACAGTTTGGGTCCATGAAGAGATTAGCGCATGTTAGCTGAGCTGTAGAAACGCTCCATGTGTTTGAAATTCCCTAGGATTTGCAGCAGGGTTAAGAGTGCTGCACACAGCCTGCAGCTCCCAAGGGCCTGCCAGTACCCACGGGTGCCCAGTGACACTGGCACCTCTCTGAGCTCTCACTGTAAACTGCCTGAGCCTGCCCGTTTAAAGCCATTGCCCTCAGCATGAGGGAAGTCTGCAATACATTTCAGGATGTGCAGGTGAGCAGCAGTCCCACTCAGCAAAACATTTGACAACTGTAAGTCTCACAAAGTCGGGAGCGGGGGATTTTTAGGTGGCAAATTGAAGACTTGGCTATTTCTTCATGTGTGTCCTGGTAGCAGAGGTACAAGGCAGAAGCAGTGTCAGGCTGTTTTGTTTCCCCTTTGCTCTTTACACACTTTGCTTTACGGAACTGCTTCATCTGGGACACCTGCTTGGGACAGGCTGCTGGAGTTAGCTGTTACATCCATCTCCTGACAAATGAGTATGACATCAGAGCGACTTCAATTTTTTATAAATATCTGTTGCCAATTTGAGTCACACGTCAGCACAGACCTGAAGTTAAAACTGAAGGGGACTGAATATTATGCCTGCCTTTTAAGGCTGGTGGAATTTCCCCTCTTTATGGAGAAAACTTCTCACTTACATATTTCACTCATATCAACCATTGCAAGCCTTAGATTTTGTCTCTCTCAAGCCTGCATCCTGTAAATCCCTGTAATTGCATGCAGCTGTTTGTGAGCCATCCACTGCAAATTGAAAGCGTGTGTTGAAAAAGCCCCCAAGCAGAGAACCTCTAAAATAAGCACCGAAAAAACTGCTGGCTTACCAAAAAGACCCTCTCTGTTCTGCCCTCCCCTGCCCTCCTCTGCTGTTGCTACCTTGCAGTTTCTGACATCCAGAGAGTGGGAGGTCTGACAATCCGAACAAGGCAGCAAGGGAGAAATTCCATTCCTGTTGCAATCAGTAATTCCTCCGTGCAGGCTGCTTTCTCGTGAGTGTGTGCGCGCGCTTTCTTTTGTGTCACTTCAAGAAGGGCTCTGATATTATTATTACTTTAAATATAGCTTGCCCTGGGGCGGGGAAACGCACAAGGAAAGAGCCGGCAAGCAGCCTATCTCTCAGAAGAAAAGAGCAAGCCTCGCAGCACAGGAACTGGCTTCACTCAAGTGTGCAGTTTAGAAGTCAAAAAACTATTTGAAATACCACCATTGTGGAGGAGGCTGAAGAAAAAAGACACAGAACTGGCTAAACACAGCGAAGAATATGGTAAACCAAGGTGCAAAGTGCATCTATTCGCAGTTTGAAAGTGGGCTCTGAAGTGCAATGTAAGTCTTCCTTAAATTGTATTCTTTTATAACAGTATCTAGTTGTTTAATTTCCATTCTGAAGCCATGCTGGGCCAAAAGGTACAATTAGCTACAAAAATCAGCATGGAGCAGAATGTGTAGTCTCTGATATGAGGCTGAAAATGATTCTGAAATACAACAGAAGACAGAGACTATCAGCCATATTATGGAAGATGCACTATAAATAAGAGCATATTTAATTATTTCAAGAGAAAGATGCTGGATGGAATAATTAATCAACTTTCTTAATAGAGAAGCAAGAGCTTTGCTGTTTAATATGGCAAGATATTTTAATACTGCTGTGTTTAAAATTGTGTGATAACAGTTACCAATAGCAATAAGATGTAGCTCCAGAGGGGAGTCCTAGTGGTTGCAAAAGTTTTATGTCTTTTATTTCTCCAACATTTTTGCTCTCTTAAGCCTCAAGTCCACATTCTGTATCCTACAGCCTGGGCTTACTTTTCAGCTGGATTTTCAATATATGCCAACACTGGACTTCCTATGGAACTGAAAACAAAAGATTTCAGCTTTTGGAATAATTCTGGTATGTTTTTCTACATCGCACTAGTGGCAAAAATACAGTCGACAAAATATTGTGCTCCCTCAACTTCTGGCATGGAGAACTGAGGAATATAATGCCCAATGGTGACAAAGGGTGATAATTTCCTGTTTTTCACAATTTATCTCTGTGGTTTTGGACTTAGCAATGGATATTCTTTGTGATGGAGAGAGCTCTGTGAACCCAACTGCAAACTCCTTCATACAAATAAATCATGAGAGAAGATTCTACAGAAATGTTTATGGAGCTGGAGAAATTAATATATCACATCTCTGCAACCTGACTGTGAACTCTGACAACCTAACCAATCTTTCATGTGAAAGTAACATGAGCCCACCGTGCTGCCCTTCACAGAAAAACTGGCCGGCTTTGCTGACAGTGATAGTGATTGTTTTAACCATTGCTGGAAATATTCTTGTCATCATGGCTGTTTCACTGGAGAAAAAACTACAGAATGCCACTAACTATTTTCTAATGTCACTTGCAATAGCTGATATGCTGCTAGGTTTCCTTGTCATGCCTGTGTCCATGTTAACCATACTGTATGGTGAGTATTAGCTGTTTAACCTACTGCATCTATTGACAAGCCTTAAACATTGCATGCAATAACATCTTGTTGTCATCATGATTTAATTCTCTTACCACAGAAAATTGTTATCACTCCATAGAAATTGAGATATATGTCACTGGTTAATGGGTGGAACAGGTGAAGTACTTGAATCTTTTCCTACTTTATATTTCCAGCTACAGGCATTTTAAACACAGTCCATAACATCAGTTTATTACTCAGTTTTCAGATGAATTGCCTCAAAGTGTATGTGAATATGCTTTGTTCTTTCTATTGCTTTCAGGTTTTTTTCCCTGGCTCATAATTTTTACGTTCCCAATGACAATGTAGGGTCCTGCCAGTTACTTTGCCTTGCAAATATGCACTGAAACACTAATGCCTACTTTTAGATTCAAAGTAGGCAGCCCCCTCAATTATTTTTAACAAAGTATTAAAAATGTAAATAATTTTCTTATCACCAATACTCTGCTTAGACATCAGCCTACTAGCAAATGCTGGAATAAATATTACAGGAGTTAAGAAATGGATGGGCATTCATTCTGCCTGTTTAGTAACATTTACAAATGCAAAACTATCATTTCTTAAGATAAGTTATTTACGTTAATAATGACTCACAGTTCATGCCCTTGCAGGTGATTAATAGCAAATCTTTCTTCTCATTTTCACCAATATCATTTGCAACACAGCTCACACCAGAACAAGCAGCACAGCACCCTATGTGTTCAGCACCAGTTTTGCCAGGCTGTTACTGTCCTTAAACTTCAGAAATGAGCCTTCAATGCTACTGAATTGCAGCAGCTCAAAGAGAAACTACACGTTGTCAGGAGGAAAGTAGATTGTTTTTGAAAGATTTCTATTACTTCACTACTTTTGGACTTAAGGTCCAAACGTGAGCCTGTTCTTAAGGGAGATTTAATCCAGAAAGTTGGAAGTTTATTTTCCATTTTCAGTATCTCTGCACAGATCGCCCCCAGCAGCATTTGCAAGCTGCATTTGGCACCGGTCACGGTGCAACACCGTGATTTACCGTATTAGCGTGCGATTATCTTTGGCGGGAGAAACAGCGTGAAACAGGAATTGTCCGATGGGTGAGATTTAAGTCGTGCGTGATTCCCTGAGACAAGCAACAGGGACTCCTGCTGGCCAGCCTCCGCTGCCGAGGGAAGGGATGGCCGAAACCCGTGTCTCGGGAGGGATCCGGGGGTGGGGCCTGGATGCCTTTCCCGCACGGCGGGAAGCCGGAGCCCTCGTCCCGGGCAAAGGCGGCGGCGGCCGGGGCACGGGAGCCGCAGGGCGCCCGAAGGCACAGGGGAGGGGCTGCGGTGGCTTCGCCAACTCTCCCTGCTTCTTCCCTCGCTAGACCAGGAACGGAAGCAGCATAACTTGGGGTGAAAAATCATCTGGCGGCATGCACTGGTACCAGGAGAGCCATCTTGGTGTGGTGCACCATCAGCCTCCAGGATGATCAGTGATGGCATGGAGGGAAACGTCCCCTTCCACAGGAGCATTTTCTTGGCCACGGCTGCTCAGCTTCAGCCACATCGCTTATGCTGAGAGTCTTGAGCTCAAATTGGAGGCCTTTGCACACAGGTGCTCTGCCGGGACACTGCCAAGGCTGTGGAACGACAGTGCCCCACCACCCCTTCTGCAGCCCCCTGGAGGGGTATGGTGATTGCTTTGCCCAGAGATGATTTTCTTGAGAGGTTTATAGCTACTGTGGGCAATTCTGGTTTGGGTGCCCAGACATGGTCCTGCACCAGTCTGCACCCTTTGGGCTGGGCAGGGTTCTCCATCCACCCAGCAGCCCCAGACTCTGCTGGAAAAGGCAGCACCCAGTAAGTCCTGCCAAGGTGGATGTGACTACAGAGCAGAAAACTTCCTGGAGGATGTTATCCACACTCTTAAGGGGGCACCTTATTGCATCCAGAGTTTTCTCCTCTCATATACTTTCTTGAACCTGTAGTCTCTAAGGAAGTTTATCTGGCAGATGCTGCCATCCCTGTCTCATTCTGGTTTATTACAAAGACAAGAAGTCTAGAAGAATATGACAAATGTGCTCATAAAGGTCACTGAAGCAAGAGAAGATGTATGTTGTCAAGTGTAAAAATACTTTAATGGTTTTCCCTGTGTAAACTGGCCTGGCCTGACAGAGAGATGCTACTGGGAAGTCATGCCCCTGAAAGCCAGCCATCACATAACACACTCCAGGGACCAGATTTTCCCACAGAAGACCAGAAAACATGATAAAATACATCCATAAATGCTGTATGGCTTGTCAGGGTCAGCTTGTATTACAGCAACCCAAGAACACCAAGAAATAGGTCTCCTCAGTACTCACTGAGACAAAACATAATTAGGCACAGACCACCTCTTCCACCTCTCCTTCCATTCCTGCTGTTGCAAATCTCGTACTGTATCTCCAAAGGAGACAGGCAGTCCCCAAAACACTTACATATTCTCACAATATGAGCTTTGGCTTTGTCCCATGCCACACTACCTTGGGCAGCTTGGGTAATATCCTCTGAATTAAATCACTACAAGATAACTGCAAAACTTGCTCTAAGGAGAGCTGGTAGTGGTTCCCTGCAGGAATAGAAGGGATTTTGAATGGGGGCCCCTGCAGGGCTCTGCTTAGCCTGGGTCTGCTCAGTACTGCTCTGAACAACAGGTATAGTGTGTGGAGTGAGAGCTTACACAGCTTTCCAAAAGCGCCAAGCTGGGAGAGGTTACAAGCACTCAGAGGGACAGGATGAGAATCATCAACAAAAATCTGGACCCCTGAAGAGAAAGTCTGAAAGCAACAAACAACATTCAGTGAGTGCAAAGGTAAAGAAGCAAACCAGCTTCTACTGGTGAAATTTGTCTGGCCTTCAAGAATGCTGAACAAGATCTGGCTGTCAAAATGTAGCATTAGCTAAATGTGCTTCACTAGCATGATATTTTCACACAAAAGACACTTACCATTCCATTTACTTGTATAAAGTAAAGACATTCCCTTCAAGATCCATGAAGAAGTCTTGTATTTCACTTAGCAGTCAGGAGGTCTTTGCAAGAGTAACAAGTCCTCTTTAATCACTGAATGATAGACAAGATGCAGACAAATTAAACACATTCCAGGGCAGAAAAATAAGAAAGAAAAAAGTTTTAAAAGCATGATCTGTAAGAAAAAGAGAAAGTACTAGGCTTTTCTTAGACTGGAAGACAGAAAAATAAACACAAAACTAGGCAAGCCATGATAGCCATCTCCCAACAGCTTTGAGAAAGTACAGTAATCAATTAATCTTTATAGGTAGTAAAAAAAACAAGGAAAAAGTAAGGGCTTAATTTGCAGTAAACAAGCTGTAGGTTGGATATTGGTAAACACTAATGCATCTGCTTTGGATTGCTTTCCCTGGAGGAGCCTATCAATAGTCATTGACAGAGGGAATATCCTTATTTAGGTATATGGTAGAGGCCTAAAGACAGGTGAGATAAATATCACTGGTATGCAACAAAACAATTTTTCTTCTTTAGCTTCCATTAAATCCAAAGTTTTACTTTCAGAATTAAGGCAGCTTTGCATATCAGCAGGTGTTGATAATGCAGTAATTACGTGGATAGAAAGTCCTAAAGCAAAATTGAGAACTTGCAGATTTCCAATGACAAAATTGCTTCTCTTTTCATAGATTTGCTGCCAAAAAATGTTTAATCATAGCACCAAGCACTAGCATTATGCAAACAGAATTAAAAAGAAAAAGCATATGCTGCCTGTAGCCTGGGAAAGAAGCAGAGTTAACCCCAAAAGCTACAGTTAGGAAGCTACAAACAAATGAAAATATTTTCTTAAAACAGTGTCAGGCAGCTTCTAAATGTATCGCTTACTACTGCTTAGTACTTATTACTATCCTCCTAGAAGGATATATTCACTAAGACACGTGTCACAACCTGAGATATATGCCACATCTTTAGCTGATGCCAACTTTCTCTTGTGCAGGATACGAATGGCCTCTACCTAGAAAGCTCTGTGCCATTTGGATCTACCTGGACGTGCTCTTCTCCACGGCGTCCATCATGCACCTCTGTGCCATCTCCCTGGATCGCTACATTGCCATCCGGAACCCCATCCACCACAGCCGCTTTAACTCCAGAACTAAGGCTTTTGCCAAAATAATTGCTGTTTGGACCATATCAGTTGGTAAGTGAGGCAACATTTCAGCATGTAATTGCAGATTTCCAGCTTTTGAGAGGATTTGATGTATATACTGCAGTCTAAAACTTTACTCTCTGCCTGCAGTATTTTGCTTTCCACTTCTATGAAGTGCTGCAATGTAGTAATTATGCGGTGGAAATCAACAACAACAGGAAATGGAGGAGAACTGAGCAGCACTGAAAGAATATGCATCAGTGACAGCATGACCACATTCAAGTTTATTTTAAAGTTGTGTTTATTTCCCATACTGATGATCCATCATTACCTAAATATCTGAAGAGAAAAAAAATATATCAACTGAAAAATGCATTTCCCTGTTGTATGTAAGTCAGTTGCTCCCAATTTCTTATTTGAGTAATTTGCTTAGATATTTTTCTCATGGGCAGATCTTCTCTGCCTTTCCCTGTGTGTATGGCGGGGAATTTATGCATCCTCTTTAGGAGACAACAGATACTGTGTGCAGTGAGAGTGAGAGGAGTCTCTCCCGAGGACAGCTCGGAGTTACAGTCTAAACTAGCTCTGGCAAAACCCAGAGCCTCAAAACTAGGCAAGGGAACACTGATCTTTTATTCCCCTGGCGGTGGCATTTCCAGGGCAGTCTTGTGGCATGGGAGTTGGAAGAGTTTGGTGTCTGATGCCATCAGGAATTTCCTCACACAGCTGGGGTGGAGGTTCTCAAATGCTTTGAAAACACAGTTCCCTTTCGGTGCTTGTAGACTCTTGAGCATTGGCAGTTCACTATTCAGAGGCAGGAAAAATTCACTCTTTTTGCCCTGGAAGAGATGTGAGCTGTCAGCAATCAAAGGAAATTAGCTCTTTCCCTGGCTAATACAAATTATTGCAAGTGGTAACTGTGATCCCTTACCACTATTCCCAGAGGAGAGAAAGGAGATGATGCTTAACGCCTGGCACTCTAAATCATCTCCTGACCTCCCTCTTGATCCTAGCCCACAGTCTGAGAAAAAGTAGTCTAGGATTGTTAAGCTTTAAAATACTGTATCTTCTACTGCACAGGAAATCATGGGAGTTTGCACTAAAGAGGAGGACAGTTCTGCATTCTACATGACCTGATGAGGTTCAACAGCATCTGGCTCTGGGGTGGATTCACCTGATCAGATGTAGATGTCTAGCACAGACCAGGTGAACTCCCCCCTAAAAATACCTAGTTCTCAACTATAAAGGAAGCCTATAGCAACTCAGATGTCGATGTCTTTATTTAGATTAAATGAATCATATCTTGTCTCTTCAACAGTCACATTTTTTAAATCCAGCAGAAAATATATTACCTACTCTGTCCAGGTTTTTCCAGTTTTTGAAACTGCTAAGTGCAAGTATTTCAGTGCATTTCTCTATATACAGCATAAAAAAGTCAAGCATTCCTTAAAATTGAGCATACTGTGTTTGTGTGCACTTGTGTGTGGCGCCTTGTGCTTAGTGTGTGTGAAATTACTGTCCTTTTTAAGCGCAAATTCACAGAATGATCAGAATGACCATTCCAAAGGCAAACCAGTGGTCCACTCTGCTCAGCATCTTTTCTCAGACAGGGGCTCAGCATCGTTTCTCAGCTCAGCATCGTTTCTCAGACAGGGGCTTACTGACAGAGTATTTGAATTAGCTCACTATTAAAAGGAATCCAGAAAAAAAGTGTTATTTTAGCCCTATTAGTTAGAGCATGGTTTATGTCCTGTAGCAGGAGGGTTTATTTCTTTGATAGCTTGATATTTTGTTTCAAAATTTATGTATTTTCTTTGCAGTAATAACTAGTAACATATCCATTGTAAAAACAACTTTTCTGCCCTCTGGAGACACTGTCTTCTAACAGTGATGAGTCACAGATGTTACTTGTTATTATTATGGCAAGTGATAGCAGTGTGGTCCCTATTTATACAACTCTGAAAAATACAACTCCTTATTTTATTGGAAGCCATTCAAGTGTGGCATGAGTGAAGGGGACAGAGTCCTGCTTTACTGCAGCTGAATAAAGACATATGTAAAGGAACAGTGGATGTCCAGAAAATAGGAAGAGTTATAGGGTAACTTCATCTCATTCACACATTTTGTGTCACCAAAACAGTGAGAAGGTTAAATAGGCATAAGTTAATGTAGGCAAGCACACTTAGGTGAGCAGGAATGAAGTGATGCTCAGCTGGTTTCTAGTCTCATGGAAGCAAGGGGCATTGGGAGACCAGCTAAGGAAGACTGGTTGGTTTCCAGCCTGGCAACAAGCTATGGCAAATGGGATGTGTTCCAGAGGACAGATAAGAAAGCAAACATAGGAAGAAGCTATAGGAAACTGATGAGCCAGTCACTGCCAGGCTGGACTAAGTTTGCACTGTGCCATATTGCTATATTAATAGAATAAAGAAAAATGCCAGTATTGTAAGGAATCTTGATAGATCCCAGATCACCCATGCAACCTGCTGTCAGTCAGTCATCAACGCTTATCTTCCTGATCTGCCACCATCCAGCTAAGAATATGTAGGAAATGGGTTTCTGAAGGTGCTTTCTGTATCACTTACTAACAGGAAATGCTTTCTGAACAAAGAGGTGCCCCATGTATGATTTACCAGTCTCCAGGATCCCAGTGCTACTTGGAGTGACAGGGCTATAAATGATTTAACTCTTTACATTTTCACGCAGCTATGACTGATATCTCTCACTGGGAGTGAGGTGAGGATGGTGAGACACTGGCATAGATTGGCCAGAAAAGCTGTGGATGCTCCATCCCTGGAAGTACTCAAATCCAGGTTGGATGGGGCTCTGAGCAACCTGGTCTAGTGGAAGGTGTCCCTAGCTGGGGCAGGGGAGTTGGAATGAGATTATCTTGAAAGTTCTTTTGAACTCAAACCATTCTATGATATCTGGCACAGGCAGAGCTAGTGTTGGGCACAACACACCCTCCACAGCACCTGGTGTGGCTACCATCTCACTTACAGATTCAGATTCAAGGTTTGCTCTCCAGCCTCAGACACCCTTTGACTTCTCTATATTCCTACAGTTTGCAGTTCAGCTGGTGACCTATGAACTTTTGTGAAGTATGAGATGGAGGGTAAAAAGCAAGAGAAAGAAATGAAAGACGTTATGTTCCCCTGTGCAGAGGTTCATTTTAGCTGAGGAAGAAGGGGGAAACAGTCCAGAGTTGTGTGCTGGCAGCACATTGAATCAGTTCCACTGACCATGCAAACAGCTCAGGCTGAACTGAACAGCACTGGTGAACATACAGGGCTGTCAGATGCTGCCTTCTACCACCCTCAATATGGAAACAAACCATTTAATCCTACCACTTCTCTTTCAACCTTCTGTCTTTCAACCCATTCTTTTTCTACTAGAAAATCTTTCTTCTATTGCCATTAGGATTTAATTTCACTAACAGCCTTTGACAAAAAGTATTGTCAGGGATTTCTGGAAATCCAGGAACATTATATCAGCTAGATTACCCTTATCCACCTGCTCACTGACTCCTGCAAATACCTCTAGCTGATTTGTTGGGCCTGAACCCAACTTACCTAGATTATAACTTCTAGTGTACCCAATTAATTACACTTTTGTTCACTAAATGTGTAATTTTCCTTTTATTCACTAAATACACAAATATATTCAGTCAATTTTAACCAAAGGCAATCAGTGATCTTCCTTCCATCGGCTTTAGTGATATATGAAGCATTTTAAAAACAGCAGAAAAAAGCACAGATAGTTTAGTTTACTTGACTTCTGAAATCTTGATTTTATCAGTTTTAAAAAAGTAAATTGTGTTAACATTAGTTTTTAGTAGAAGAAGAGCATTTAGCCAGGAGCCTTTGTTTCACTAGACCATGTAATGCCACAGGCAATTGGTTTAAAATAGATTCTAATTACTGTAACAGATTCTAATTGTGTCTTTAATTCTTAAATCATCCAGTGTGCACAGTGGTTAGATAATTAGATTATTTGTAGCTGTTGAAGGCAAAAGCTCATTAAACCCTGAAAATTATTCCATTTGTTTTAAAGCTCAGAGGTCATTATTAAGAACAGGTGTAAAAAGCCAAAGATTTCCCCTTGCTGGAAAAAAGTAGAATTTTGAATAGAACTGGAATCTATAGAATTGTAAATAGAGCTTATACTGAAAAATACATGTAAAGTACCTTTGAGTCCTAAATGGGCCTAACAAAGCCATTGCTCTGCAAGAGGCCAACAGTGCATCATCCCCTCCTTGAAAGGGTAACATAAAAGAATGACAGGCATGAATGTTAAGTCCTTCTATATAACATTCCTCAGTTCATATTTCTCTCTATTCCTCTGTTAATGGTCTAAGTAATGTGAAGTCTGATGAAGCCCAAGCACTCTAAGCTGAGTTTTCTCTTATCATTTCTCACTCAGCCTACACATCTGTTCACTGCCTTCAAGCAGTCTCTGCACTCCCCAGTCACTTAACAACTTAGATTTATTCAGTACTTTTCATGCAGATAAAAAAGCCCAACATGGATCTGGATGAATCTGGTAAAATACCTCCCACTACATAACTCTAAAATTTTGCCATTGCTTTTGAGGTTTCGAAAATGAGAAACACTGTAGCACGTGAAGCAATTTTCTCCAAAGTGCAGGGTGAAGTTAGCTCCAGGTGTACAAATCAAGCCCAGTGCAACTGAGCCCTCAGCTAATCTGGCAGTGTGACATTTTATGAGGATACAGAGGCTTACACCTCCTTCATAGACAGCCTGCAATTTCTCTGCATGGCTTCTTGCTGCCTTAGAGCATTTGAAGGGCCAGGGAAGCAGCAGGGATTGGGAGAGTTCAACCACCGGTGCCTCTGGATTGTGTTTTGTTGACAGCTTTGGCATCCTTAGGCTCAGACTTCTTTCTGTCAAGAATATCTTTCATTTGAAAATCCCTTTACAGGTTTCAAAAGGCAGAAACAGCTAATAAACTGCAGGCTGGGAATCCCTGTCCTGAATCTACTACACATCCATTTCTTCCAGGTGACATAATTTGCCACTTCAATCAAGTCT